GGGCGGGGGGCGCGGGAGGTGGGTGGGCCCGGAGCTGGCACCCAGTCCTACAGGAGGCTGGGGACGGGGGCCGCGCAGAGCTGGGGAGAGCGGGGACACCTTGTCGGGGCTGGGGGCCGCACAGCCCTCGGGTGCGCTGCGCCCGGAAGTCAGCGTTTATGCTCACTAAAATGAAGGCTGCACGAAGTAATAAGAGTGATAGTCTTTAGCTAGGAATAAATATGGCTTGCCAGTCCCTGCTTCCTAGAAACTTTTCAGGATCGCTCATTCTCACAGCTTCGGTAAGATGCTTGCAAATTTATTTTTCCTTTGTTAGACATAACAGGTATATGAAGAAAGGCAATTAAGAAAAAAAGCCTAGCCTCATTCCAAATGTTTCATATTTTTCAGGTTTTAGAATTCTCAGTTAATCCCATCTCTTGAACCCCTTCATTCCCAGTCCCAGAGATGCAAAATATATACTAATGATTAAAAACATTGTGCAACCTTTAACCTATTAAACGTAACTAAATATTTCCCAAGCTCTTCTCTGATACAGATCTCCTGTTATAATTTAGTGTCACAGTAGTACTTCTGGTCCAGATTTTTTGTCTTCATCTCAGTGCCACCCCTCTAACCGAAACAGGAGTGGAGGGAGTTCTTTGCCTCTGGTTTTCTCATGCTTAAGGTTGCATCCAAAACTTCTCATTTTCCTTTGTCATTCACTTTACTCTCCCAAATCTCCAGTTTCCTCTTTATAAGAATGGCTTAAGAACTACATTCACATAAACCAAAATTCTAACAGCTACAGAGATGATGTACCAATCAAATTTTAGTTGTAGGAAAGGTAGGTAAACATGTTTATCAGTTAGCTTACTGAGATCCAAAGGACTTCAAAACTATCCAGGTATCCAAGAACCTGGTTGAATTTAAAGAGAACATTTTAAAATCAAAAGTACCTTCATAATTTAAGTAAATAAGAAAACTGTAAAACTTTTACATTAAGTCAAATTCAATAAATAAAAATTGGGCACTTACTACAAACTAAGGCATTATTCGATATTGATATACTGAAAGACATGAAAAATATTGATATACTGTTTTTCTGTAGCAATGCAAATTAATTTTATTACTAGAAGAATAATTCTGTACTTTAAAAAAATACTTTTTAATCCAAAGATTATCCATCTATCTAATCTACAAATCATTTATTTAACTTGGGAGAAAATGCTTAATCAAGAAAATTACAATACATAACAGTGGGTTTAAAATAGAAACCACACCTACCACTCTGACTGATGCTTTTCAACTCTTATCTCTTTAGACCTGTGAGAAAATTTCCATGATGTTCGTACTTCCCTAAGGAGTTTTAAATGTCACTCAGAGAAAAGTTATAAAGGAATCATTTATGAATTAGATGGAATAATATGCATGATTAGCTGAATTCTCTGGTATTTTCAAGCATTTTCCACTTGCAACTAAAGTATATGGTTATTCCCAACAATTTTACTCTTAGGTATATATATACCCAAGAGAATTGAAAATTATGTACACAAAAACTTGTACAGAAATGTTCATAGTGGCATTATTCATAATAGCCAAAAAGTGGAAATAACCTAAATGCCCATCAACTAATGAATGGATAAACAGAAGGTGGTATATCCATACAATGGAATATTATTCTGCCATAAAGAAAGGAACAAAGTACTGATACATGATGCAACATGGATGTACCCTGAAAACATTATGCTAAGTGAAAGAAGCCAAAAAAAAAAAAAGAGCCAAACATTGTTTGATCCCATTTATAGGAAATGTCCAGAATAGATAAATCCATAGGGACAGAAAGTAGATTAGTGTTTGCCAGGGGCTGGAGGAATGCGAAGTGAGTGCTAATGGTTATTCAGTTTCTTTCTGGGGTAATAAAAATGTTCTAGAATTAGAAAGTGGTTGCACAACTCTGTGAATATACTAAAACCACTGGACTGTACACTTTAAAAGGGTAAATGTTTTAGCAGGTGAATTATATCTCAATAAAGTGGTAAAGTATGTGGTGATTAAAACCTATGTATTGAATTTCTAAAAGAAGACAATATTCTGCTGAAAGGTGATAGGGTCCAATATACCTTGTATACCAATCATCCTGAAAATCACTTCTGAACCAAAAACATTGGTTCAAAATATCATTCTCACTATAGCTATAAAACAGAAAACAGAATTTTTTTTTTTTGTGGTACGCGGGCCTCTCACTGTTGTGGCCTCTCCCGTTGCCGAGCACAGGCTCCGGACGCGCAGGCTCAGCGGCCATGGCTCACGGGCCCAGCCGCTCCGCGGCATGTGGGATCTTCCCGGACCGGGGCACGAACCCGTGTCCCCCGCATCGGCAGGCGGACTGTCAACCACTGTGCCACCAGGGAAGCCCCAGAATAAGTTTTTAAACGTAAATATATTTTAAAAATTAAGACACCTAAGAATGCAATCTATACATATGAAAAAGTAAAATATTTATATGCATAGCAAGTAGTAGCAACATCATTCATAAGCAGCAGTTAGTGTTTATTTTCCCCATATTTTGGTTTAACACCATAGTGGTAGTTTATTCTTTTTAGGGAAATTGCATATGGTACATATAGCATATTATGAGTAAGTTATAGAAGGCTGTGTAATTGGAAAATTAATTCCAAGTAGCAATATTTCCTCTAAAAACACATTTATTATCAAACAGATTATTTTTAACTAGTGGACAATAAAATGTACCTATAATTTATTAAGTCCAAGATATATAGTCAACTTGCATAAAATTATATATGGCATTTTAAAAACAACCTATTTCTAAAGTATCAGTAATTCAGGCCAATTGGGATTTCCACAGGAGATAAATTGCCATTAATATCCTTTTTATGAAGAAAAGGTCTGCATTAAGAACATTACAACTATGTTATTAAGAAATGCTACAACATACTTTAAAAATCAAAATGGTGAAACATATGTATTAGGATATTCTTTTATGGGTACCAGCCCTATAGCAGCATTTCATATGTGACTTTAATTTAGTTAACCAGATTTCCAAGTGACCTGGTTTTTTATTTTCTAGAAATACCTATCACATGTATAGTTTTGTTAAGAATTTAAATTTCCATCATAAATGAGAACCTATCATACTGATAATGTAAAGATATAAGAAATAAAGTACTTGGATATCCTAGTACTTTATTAGAAATATATCTACTAACTCCACAGAAACAAGTTTTACATGTAAGCAAAATACTGAAATTTTCTGATTTGGGAGAAATGAAATAAAATACAGTGAATCGTTTTCTCTTCTTCTCTAACTGTAAAAATCCCTTTTGCCTTTTTATTTGACCCGTCTATTCATGCAATTTAATGAACCCTCGAAATAATTTACATGTCTTTATACAGAATTCACATCTACATCAGTAAATGGCCAGTCCTTTTATATTTTCAGTGCCTTATCGAAATATGGGTAACAAAGTTTTTCATTCTATGAGGCAGGAAGATGTTTCCTAAGTACTTCTTTGGATGATGAGGATATAGTATCTGGGAAGGACACCTCAAATTCTATTAGAAGGTCACCACGTTGCTCAGGATTTTTTGGAAACGGTAGCCCATATCCGATAATTCTTCGCCTCATTCCAGGTTTCACAATATCATTTATTGTCATAGGTATGGTTCTTCCATCCATTGTTGGCACATTAAATGAGCAGCCACACAATGCCTAAAATGGACCAAATAAAATTAACAAATTTCAAAACGTAAAAGTCTAATCAAAAATATTACCAGCTGTAAAGGACGATACCTCTAAGGCAAATTTTTAACCTCCAAAAGAATATCAATAATTATAAGACTTTTTCCACATTAGAAAGTCCCTTCAGGACACATATAATCAGACATTTTACAAAAGAAGGAAAGGAGAAGGGGAAGGAAAAGAAAAGGAAAAACGGAGGAAAGAATGTCTTTAACATTGCCCTGGAATGAAATGGATTGTTTGAGGCTGCTATTGCAACATTCAAGATGCAGGGATGGAATGGGAGAAGAGAAGAGGGGGAAATTCAGGACTAGAAAGAATAAGATAGGAGCAACTACAAACTTCTCTGGAGGGAATATGTTAGGACAAGAAATATACTAATGTTTTAGTCAATAAATATTTACTGAGTACCTACTATATGCCACATATTCCTGTTAGAGGCTGAGCATATAGGGACCATGCACACAGACCCCACCTCAAGGAACGCACAAAGAATTCAAGAGCAAACTAGTAATTATAATACAGTATAAAGTTGGCACAGAAGTATGTGCAGAAGTCTTTTGTGAGAGAAAGGGCACCCAACCTACCCCCTTAGCTTCAGGGGGTAAGTTTGGGGTAAGCATTGGACCAGTAGCAGGTGTTGAGGTAGAGTGAGGAACAGCAGTGTTCCATAGAGTACAGCTCAGACAATGACACAGAGGTATACAAGATAATAATACATCAAACTTAGGGAAATGCATATACATTGAGGGTTAGAAATCAGATTTAAAAACAACCTTTTATTTTAAGATAAAGAGTTTAGACATTATGGTAGATGCTATGTGGAGTCATTTAAGAATTTTAAGCAGGGAACTGATATGGCCTTATTTGCAGGATTACAATCCAATTTGAGAAATAGTGCCTAAAAATAGAACAAATACGAACTAATGTATTAAAGCAGTACCCTCATAAATTATTTTGTCTTTTAATACTTTTTTGTTATATAATTATTAACGCAAGTTAACAATTTTGGAAAAATTCTATACATGGACTAAGGTGATGAGATTACAGTGCAGATCTCATAAACCATACTTGTAAAAAACAGAGTAGAGTTAATCCAGACTAGGCCTCATAGTATATAATTCACTTAAAATTGTGATTTAAATTGTTAGTATAACTAAACTTAGAAAGTATAATCTTATCCATAAATGAGGTATAATAGTGGTACTACCTCAGAAGGTTCTTATGATAATTTTAAAAATAATGTGTAGTAAACATAAAATTAATGTTAGCTATTATTTAGATAAATGCCCTAAGATCACATGCATAATTCTGTTTGGTTTCAGAATCCTATGTCCTACCAACTTACCTCTCGTAAACTAATTCTAGCAGTATAAATTATATTTGATCCATCCCTTTTGAATTTTGGGTGATCTTTATCTTTAATGACAAAAACAATGTCTGCTGGAATACTAGTTGGTGTTTCATCTCCTTCCCTTGGAAAAGTAATTTTGGTACCTTCTTTCCACCCTTTTTTTATCTCGATGGTAAGAATTTTGTCCTCAGTTCGATAACTCCTTCCATCAGGGTTTAACCTTTTTCGAGAAATCTTCATCCGTTTGGTGCAACCACTATATATTTCTTCAAGTGATACTCTAAGTTCATGAATCACTGGAGGATCTTGTTTGAGGCGGGATGGCCCCACAGAATTCCTGTCTCTTGGATATCCATTCATGCTGAATCCAAAGGCGCTAAAAGGATCTCCATCTACTTCCATTTCATCAGAATCTCTACCACCACCCATCCGTCTTCCAAAGAAAATTTCAAAGGGGTTGGAACCTCCGAAAAATGCTGCAAATGTGGCATGAGGATCGCCATGAAAGGTGTACCGGAATGTACCTCCTTGTCCATCAGTACCTCCTGCCCCTCCTTTCAACCCTAAATGAAGAGATAAGCATGATTAGAAAAATGCTTACAACTCTTGAAAGTTAAACTTTCAACAACTATATTACTAATAAACTTTGGTTAACTTAGGTTGCTATTTATTAATATTGGCCAGAAATGCCATTATAACTGAATACAGAACAGCTATATAACTTCCAATCATTCCACCCTAAGTTAAATTTTTATCTTTCAAATTCTTCTTCCAAGCCCCATCTTTTTTTTTTAAACTGGTTTGTTTGTTTTTTAACTTCATTGGTTTTTTAAAAATTAATTAATTAATTTTATTTTTATTTTTATTTTTATTTTTAAAATTTTTTTATTTTTTGCGGTACGCAGGCCTCTCACTGTTGTGGCCTCTCCCGTTGCGGAGCACAGGCTCCGGATGCGCAGGCTCAGCGGCCATGGCTCACGGGCCCAGCCATTCCGCGGCATGTGTGATCTTCCCAGACTGGGGCACGAACCTGTGCGCCCTGCAACGGCAGGCGGACTCTCAACCACTGTGCCACCAGGGAAGCCCCAAACCCCATCTTTAATGATAATTTATTTATTCCTGAGTCTTTGTTCCACAGGTAAAAAGAAAATAAATAAAAATCGGGAACCTCTTATCTCATAAGCTACTGGTTTGATAACCTAAAGTATATAAATTTAAGTTTTTAAAAGATGTCATTCAAGGGGTGGGGGAGGGAAGAATTGGGAATTCGGTATTAGCAGATGCAAACTAGTATATATAGGATGGATAAACAACAAGGTCCTACTGTATAGCACAGGGAACTGTATTCAATATCCTGTGATAAGCCATAATGGAAAAGAATATAAAAAAGAATATATATATATATATATATATATATATATATATATAACTGAATTACTTTGCCGTATAGTAGAAATTAACACAACATTTTAAATCAACTATACTTCAATAAAATAGAAAAATAATAATAAAAAATAAAAGATATCAATTGAAAGGTCTTCAGTAATCAATGCAAAATACGTAACCTAAATCTTTGAGTACCATTATAATCAGTGAGCACAAATCAATAATATAAAATACCATATTTATACTAACTATCTGTATTTCAGATCACCTTTCACTGTTTAAGAATTAAATAGAACTCAGTTGTGGCAGAAAGGAAAAAAATTCTAATAACAGAAAACCCTATGAAAAAAAATTTTAGACACTAAAATTGTTATCCTGTCCTAGATAATTAAATTCTTTATCTAGGCATACCATGTGATAGCATTAATTTCAATAGCATGTGAAAAGACTGAAATCATGAGCTGTGAACTCTTTTGACATGTTAAGTCCTTTGGGCTGGTTATTTCTGTCTATTATGGACAACCTGCTTCAGCCCCCAAAATAGTGACCCTTTGATCCTCTTTTTTAAGCTCAACTAAGTAATAAGCAGCTCACAAGAGATTACATATTTGAATAGCATTTTCTACTACATACTGAAGGAAGATTCTACTGAAATCCACAGAACAATAGTATAGTGATCTTTTAAGGGATCAATACTGACAAGGATTTATATCATTACAGTATCAGCAAAGTTTCTGAATGAGCCTTATGGGCCTTCCTGACCAAGGAAACAAGCAGGAAAAGAATATAAAAATTATGAAACTGTAAAAAAAATTCAAGAGAATTAAACTAAGAGATTCCAATATATTCAAGCAGTGACCAATTTGAGGGCAAGAAATACATTTTATTCATTTTTGCATTGCTCATGCATACAGGTCTGAAAATGACAGGCGCTCATGTTTATTTATTTATTTAAATTTATTTATTTATGGCTGTGTTGGGTCTTCGTTTCTGTATGAGGGTTTTCTCTAGTTGCGGAGAACGGGGGCCACTTTTCATCGGGTGCGCGGGCCTCTCACTATCGCGGCCTCTCTTGTTGTGGAGCACAGGCTCCAGACGCGCAGGCTCAGTAGTTGTGGCTCACGGGCCCAGTTGCTCTGCGGCATGTGGGATCCTCCCAGACCAGGGCTCGAACCCGTGCCCCCTGCACTGGCAGGCAGACTTTCAACCACCGCACCACCAGGGAAGCCCCGCTCGTGTTTATTGAATAAAGGGAATGAACTAATTCTTAGTCTCCGAAAAGAAACTTTAAAATGTATTTTGAGTGTCAAGATATTTGAGAAAAGGCAGAAGCAAAAACAATATAAAGTATAATCACACATACACATATATGAGAAATTTAATAATAAAAAATTCTACTGAAGTCATTCAGCATGATTTCACAGAGTTTTACGTGTCTTATTCTATTTGGCAACTTCCACTAAAAGGTTTACATGTACTCTACTTCATCCAACAGTGTCAGATGATGTTTAAATTTTTACCTTCATCCGTGAATAGAAATCTGGAGACACAGAAAGAAATCTAACAATTTGAAAATTGTCAATATATGTATTGAATGATATATCCGAATAGCACTCAGGGATATGCCTTGTAGAATCGGAATGACAAGTACAAGCAGGACAAGAACTTTTAACACACAGCTCATCCAAAACTTCTTTTTATAAATTTTAGTGGTATAGTTATAACTCCAAATGTTAAAGAAGATTTTTTTTTTTTTCCTGCGGTATGTGGGCCTCTCACTGTTGTGGCCTCTCCCTTGCGGAGCACAGGCTCCGGACGCGCAGGCTCAGCGGCCATGGCTCACGGGACCAGCTGCTCTGCGGCACGTGGGATCTTCCCGGACCGGGGCACGAACCTGCGTCCCCTGCATTGGCAGGCGGACTCTCAACCACTGCGCCAGGGAAGCCCGGAAGATTTTTTTAAATTATATATATATATATATATATATATATATATATATCATATAACTCAAGGTCATTACCAATGTGATTAAACCAATGCTAAATTATTTCAATCACTTCATCTTTCATCCCACAAATAGAGTATAATAATTTAACAGAGTTAATAAAGTAAATTGAGTGACTTAGCCTGCCAAATCTAACCCTCTACAAGACAAAATCTAAATGTTTTGGACCTATAATGGATTTATGAAAAGAAAGAATAACATTTTAAGTTATTACATCATGGGTTTGGCTTTTCTCTAAAAGCCCTTCCTTCCTCTGCCAAAAATGGTAACTCAATCAGGATTACAGAGTCCCTGAGAAGATTCACACACTGTCTGAAGTGACGTTTATCAAAGCTAACAGCCAACAATGCAGCTTTGACACTAAACAGTCAACTACTATCCTCTATGACTGAGAAAAATCCTACCAAAATTCACACCAATACAACATGAATTATTATGCAAGTATCACTTGCATTGCCCGGCACTTGAATTGTAACCAGCCTGTCATCAACTACACAGTCAACTCTTTACTACATACATTCTGACTGCTCATGGAAAATTTTAATATTCAGTTAGATTCCCTCTGCTATCCAAAATTTTTTCTAGACACCATCATCAGCAAGAAATGCACCCCAGAGTCAACATTTACGTATGCTGTACCGACAGCTATTATTTAAAAAACAACCAATCAACCAATTTGCAATCCAGAAACAATTATGTGTCTGGGATACTATCCATAACAATGATATCCGTTAGTTAGTTGATTAAAAGTTTATCAAAAGAAGCAGCATTGGAGAAGAATTAGGATTTCAAAAAAAAAAAAAATTATAGGACTTTAAAAACTTTCTTTAAGGAGATCTAATATGTAAAAACCCAGATTTATAAAAATACTTACAGAGTTAACTAGCATAATGAAATTCTTTAGACAGCTTTGATTCATAAAAATACAATTTACTCATTTTAAAAAATATATAGTAAATAAAAAGATTAAGTTGATTAACTACATGAACAGAAGCTGCAAGCTAGTATAAAGATTAATATACTAAACACAAATTTGATCATATAAATACTACCTTTCAGTATTTAAGTTTTTGAGTAAAACATAAACAATAAAAAAAGAAGGCATAAGGAAAAAGAACTGTTAGAAAACTAGACTACTATGAAAATGTTATTGAAAATCTTTTTTTTTCTTTTTTTAAGTCTTTTAATATAAACTTCTGTTGACATCACGGAACAATTCAGAACTAAACCTAAAACTTTAGGGGAGAGACTGGATCAAAATCCAATTTTCAGTTTCTGTAGTTCTGTTTTTTGTTTTAAATGATTCAACTATGGAGAAACGTCTCTATATGGAAAAATAGTTTTATTTATTACATACAATAAAATTAACCCATTGTAAATACACAGTAGTTTTAGTGAAGTTGTAGAATTGTGCAACCATCACTACAATCCAGTTATAAAACATTTCCATCAACCCAAAGAGTTCTTTCATTTCTATTCATAGTTAATCCCTGCTCCCACCTCTAGCCCTAGGCAACCACTGATCTGCTATCTTTCTCTATAAATCTGCCTTATCCATGCATTTCATATAAATGGAGTAACAGAATATGTAGTCATTTACAACTGACTTTTTTAGCATAGTTCATGAGGTTATTCCATTTAGTAACATGTTTTATTAAATCAGTCCTTTTAATTGCTAAGTAGTATTTGTGTGTGTGTGTGTGTGTATATACATATACAACACACTTTATCCATTCACTAAAAGATGATAATTTCGGATTTTTTTCATTTGGGGCCATCACAAATGGTGCTGCTGTGAACACTCACGTACATGTCATTCTGTGGACCTATATTTTCATTTCTCCTTTACAGATTCCTAGGAGTGGAAATGCTGGGTCATATGATACTTTCAAAACATCTCTATTTTTATGCAACCTATAAAAAACTCAGAATTTAAAATTGTGGATATTAGAGGGGCTTCCCTGGTGGCTCAATGGTTAGGAGTCCGCCTGCCAATGCAGGGGATACGGGTTCAATCCCTGGTCCGGGAATATCCCACATGCTGTGGAGCAACTAAGCCTGTGCGCCACAAATACTGAGCCTGCGCCCTGGAGCCCAAGAGCCACAACGACTGAGCCCGTGCGCCACAACTACTGAAGCCCGCATGCCTAGAGCTGGTGCTCCGCAACAAGAGAAGCGACCGCAGTGAGAAGCCTGAGCACCGCAACAAAGAGGAGCCCCTGCTCTCCGCAACTAGAGAAAGCCCACGAGCAGCAACAAAGACCCAACACAACCAAATAAATGAATAAATAAATAAATAAAATTTAAAAAAAAACACACAACCAAGTAGATATTAAAAAAATAAAATTGTGGATATTAGAGATTTTCAAAACACAAATATACTGGGATCACTGGTTCTGGTAGGTCCTAAATATATAAATTAGCATGTTCAACTCATATAATTCTCAGTTCACGGTTCCTTATTTCCACAGTCTCAGGCCTTGCAAAAGAATGCAATCATTGGGGGAAAAAAGTATATCAGGTAAATTAGTAATGGCCCCACAGTCCTAAAATTATTGTTATGTTACTTCTAGAGAAACACATAGGCCTATGGAACCAGGTCTGCAGGCACAAACAGATCAATGACAGGCAAAGACACAAAAGTATTTTCCCACATTTTAACAGTATACGTAACGAGGTATTTTATTATTTTTTTTATTTTTATTTTTTTTTGGTTTTTTTGCCTAATTACTCTGGCTAGGACTTTCAATACTGTGTTGAATGAAAGTAGCAAGAGTGGACATCCTTGTCTTGTTCCTGATCTTAGAGGGAAAGATTTCAGCTTTTCACCATTGAGTATGAATTTATCTGTGGACTTGTCATATATGGCCTTTATTATGTCGATGTACATTCCCTCTATACCCACTTCGCTGAAGTTTTATCATAAATGGATGTAGAACTTTGGCAAATGCTTTATCTGTGTCTATTGAGATGATCATATACTTTTTAGTTGTTAATGTGGTATCTCACATTGACTGACTTACAGATGTTAAACCGTCTTACAGCCCTGGAATAAATTTCACTGGATTATGGTATATGATACTTATAATGTATTGTTGAACTCAGTTTACAAATACTATACTGAGACTTTTTTGCATCAATGTTCACCAGAGACACTGGCCCGTCACTTTCCTTTCTTGTGTCATCTTTGTCTGGTTTTGGTATCAGGGTAATGCTGGCCTCATAAAATGAATTTGGAAGTGTTCCTTCTCTTTTTTGGAAGTTTGAGAAGGACTGTTACTCATTCTTCTTTCAATGACTGGGAAACGAGGTATTTTAAATAAAGGATAAGTAAATATAATGCTTTTCTGTAAAGGATGATAATTTCTAAAACATAATCGAATCACTTTCATTTAACTGTATTTTAAAGTAACATAACTAGAGAATAATATTTCTGAATAATATATTTCAATGCTTTAAAAAACTTATTCTTCCCTATTACCTCTATTGCTTATATCAATTACCTGAGTCAAGAACAAAAAAAGATTTGGGGTACACAGATGATTCTGTTTTAGTTTTTTTTTTTTTTAGTTTTTTTTTTAATTCACTCCCTGATGATGCTCAGTAAAAATCAAACTGGAGAAATATCACCCAAGAAAAACACTACTAAGAGGTAATATTAAGCCAAGAAAAATGTATCATTTGGTGATTTGAAAATTTTGCAAATATCCTTAGTAAACACTGAATCTTATGGTTCAGTTATAGACAGATTTGAGCTATTTGTGAGATGGGGATTAAATCAGTGGATATTTGCTTTTCCATGGGAATGTATTGTGTTACTCCATGTTTGTAGGTTTCTTTACAAAATTACAAAATAACTTCTTCAGAAAGAGTAGTATATGGCTAGTAGTATCTCAGAATCCTGCTTAGGTTTTGAGAAGAACCAAATCATAGTATTTTGAGTAGTATGGCCATAAGGAACCAACAGGATTGAACTGCCCACTATCTGCTTTTTTCAATATTTACTTTGTAAGAACCTGACACTGCAGGTCCTCATCACACCAAAACTGGCAGCAGAAACTGCAATTTGGGGCAACTCAGATCAAAAACAAAAAACAACAAAAAACCCTCTACACAATCACCCTGCTTATCTAAATTTAATGTTTTAACTCAAAATAAGCAGCCGCTACTTCACTATACTTTAGGATATATTTCTAATTAGGAAAATTTAACATTAAATGCAATAAAGGAAGCAAAAAAACCCGAAAAAAGTTTTCATAACTACAATGATTTAAAAAAAAAATCTGGGGAGAAAAATTAGTAATAAAACAACTTAGTCCTGATATAAAACGTTGAAAATCGCAGAAACTGTAGAAATTAAAGTGTTGTTGTTAAATTAGCAATTTAAAATAGTCTTACTTTATAGCTACATTTATATGGAGATGATGGATAAACACTTTAAAATCCAGAATGATAAAAGGATAATCTTCAATTATTCCCATTTACTGTATTCAACTAGTTTCTGATCTCACAATCCAAGAAACAAAAGTGTGGCAGGGAGAGGAAAGGGAAGTTATCATGCCTTCCTCTATACCTAGATAGTAAAATTTTAAAAGAAATAATGTTACCTTAAAGTAAATCAATAATTGTTCTAACTAGGTGGCCATTTTAGGTCAAAAAATTGTATTTCTGAGATCTCATTTTCTTGGCACACAATTACTGTTTACAATTAAGCTAAAAACTTGTTCTGGTATTTTATGACATCAGGAAAATTCTTTCCTCTCCAGGCAGAATGCCAAAAACAACTACAGCTAAATGCCTGGGCCTTCGGCTTCTCAGAGAGACGATTCTGTCCTGTTTAATTTAAACTAGCTTTGCCATAAGAAAGGCAAAAAACTTCTTTTGTTTTCGTGAATAAAATATAAACTACCCAGAATTTGAACTGCCAATCTTAAGATTTTAAATGACTAAAGAATCTTTATTGGTTCTGACAGAAAATTCATTAGAAAACAAAACAGGTTGCATAAGACTTTTGACACAATTTCTTAATGAGTATGGGAATTTAAGGTTTCTTTTCAAATATAATGTTAACATTATAAATCTAATGGTATAATATACATATTACAAAATGTCAAAATCCAAAAAAAGGCAAACAAATACATTTCATTCATAGCTATATAACATTCATTCATATGATCAGAGATGAAATCTTGTTTTCATCCATTATTTGTCTTTCTACTTTTGAAATGTCAGAGAATTTAATTTAATAACCAGAAGGCTGAGAGAGAAAAAAGAGAGACAGAGCTGGAGAAACAGAAAGATGTACACTGAATACTTACCTTCCTCCCCAAACTGATCATATATTTCTCTCTTTTTAGGATCACTCAATACTTCATAAGCTTCTGCGACCTCTTTAAATTTTTCCTCTGCCTGAGGAGATTTGTTCTTGTCCGGATGAAATCTGAGGGCTTGTTTTCGGTAAGCCTTTTTAATATCTTCATCTGAAGCTCCTTTTTCAATTCCCAAAATGCAATAATAGTCTTTCCCCATTTCGAATGCCTTGAAATGAACTTAGATTCCCTTTGTGAAAGAAAACAGCGTCCCCAGTCTTAGCAATACAATGATTCTAAGAAAAATAAACCAAGCTGGGTATTTTAAAAGTTAAAGCAAATCAGCAATTCAGCTTTGCTGTCTTAAGGCAGCAAGCAGACAGTGTCTCTGTATTTAATTCCTTCCCCAACAGCTCACTTACAGATAAATATACACTACACAGGAGACGGCCTCCTTCTAGATCCTCCCATTTTCACTACGTGTCTCTGTACTTTCTAGAACAGCAAATGCTACAGGACGTCACTTCCCCAGCTGCCTCTAGTCAAAGTATTGAGCTAGGTTTTCTCCTCCTCCACGATTAACTATTCATTTTCCTTCTGGCTCTACCATTTTTATGTCCTTTTTAAGAGGCAAGTGGATTAAGAAACCAATATTTCAGCACAGAATGTCCTAACTACACATTTATTTACTCCATTCTAGGTAAAAAAGCAACAAAAAAATCATTATAGCCATTAAGTATCTTACCATTAAAAAAAGTTAAAGTTATTATACAAATAAAAATACTTATTTTAGGTATATTAATTTCAACTTCAAGTTATTCAAATGTAAGATATACAACACTAAAATATGGTTTGTTTAAATTAAAATTGTCAAATAATTTGTGTCATTTTCAAAATTCCTAGGGTCTATCAATCAGAAATGCCAGGAATTTGGCATTGTAAAAGTCTACATATCATAAATATCAAAAGCACGGTTTTAAAGTCAGTAAAGGACTTAAATATGACTTTAGCTGATGATTTTAACTTTTTTTTTTTGTAGTATACAAGAGTTAATAGTTCAGGCAAACTAATAACTTCTGAAAGCTTCATATCTGATTTTAGGTACTTCAACTAAAACAGAATGAGATCTGCCCTCCCCACTCCTAGGGTCACTATTTAAAGAATTTTTGTCCTGCTTCAGGAATGATAGGAGAAAGTATCAGGTTACAGGCAGTAAAAACTCATGTTTAAGACTTTAACTGGATCAGCTTAAAATCTGGATATGCTATTTATGAGGCATAATATGAGAGATATTTTTTCTTTTAAAAACACATTTTCCCGGGCTTCCCTGGTGGCGCAGTGGTTGAGAGTCCGCCTGCCGATGCAGGGAACACTGGTTCGTGCCCCAGTCCGGGAAGATCCCACATGCCGCAGAGCGGCTGGGCCCGTGAGCCATGGCCGCTGAGCCTGTGCGTCCGGAGCCTGTGCTCCGCAACGGGAGAGGCCACAACAGTGAGAGGCCCGCGTACCACAAAAAACAAAAAACACACAGTTTCCCTAATTCTAAATATAAATGCTAAATGAAGATTTTGGAAAACACATAAAGAAAAAAAGAATAAAATAAAAACCTTCCTGGGCTTCCCTGGTGGCGCAGTGGTTAAGAACCTGCCTACCAATGCAGGGGACATGGGTTTGAGCCCTGGTCCAGGAAAACCCCACATGCAGCAGAGCAGCTAAGCCCGTGTGCCACAACTACTGAGCCTGCACTCTAGAGCCCGCGAGCCACAGCTACTGAGCTCGTATGCCACTACTGAAGACTGCGTGCCTAGAGCCCGTGTTCTGCAACAAGAGAAGCCACCGCAGTGAGAAGCCCGTGCATCACAATGAGGAGTAGCCCCCAATTGCCACAACTAGAAAAAGCCTGAGCGCAGCAACAAAGACCCAGCACAGCCAAAAATAAATAAACAAAACAAAACCTTCCTATCATACCACTTTAGGTAATCCCTGCTAAATGTTAGTGTGACATAAGAAAATGTCAAAAGAACTGTACAGAGCACTGTATTGAATATCTTAAGTTTGCAAAATTAAAAGAAAAAAGAACAGTTATGAGAAAAAGTAAATGTACCTGTATGTTTAGAGTATAAAGAAAAGGTGATGATCACGTTAACCTTTAAAAATATTGGAACACCTACTCTATACACCAATCAGCCTTACATTAATGATTCAGCAATTCTTTCATAATGTCCCTCTTTGTGCATTTTGACAGCTAGGATTTACTATTTCTCAAAACTCTAAAAGCACCTTGGTATAGAATGGTATTGTATTTATCTAGCCTACTTACAGGTTACAGAGGTTTGTCAGCTATTCAGCAAATTTTTTTAGTCCCACCAAGGAATAGTCAATGTCAAAAGATAAACTTTCAAATCCAGAAAACTTAAGGAAAAATGCTAATATCCAAAGTCACCTTAAGATTCTTGCTTTTTAAAAAAGCATATTGCAAGTTGGAATCCAGCGCAATGATCAGCATTGAGTAGAGTAAAAATATAATAAAAATCATCTATTCTAGAATTAATTTCCAAGAGAGTTCCTTTAAATATTTATTACCAAAGAACACTGGTATAGTAATATGAAAATTCTGAATTGTTCTGGTGGGTAATGCTGGGAACTAAAAAAAACATTCTTATCTGATTCAATCATTTTCAGAGAGCTAGAAATATTATCAGGACTTGACATATTAAGTGATTTCAGAACCCAAAGGCTAGATCTTTCACATTTCTGAAAAATGCATTACATGTTAACAAATGGAAAGAAATCTGGCTCTTCACACATAGAAAACGGTGATAAAGGATTTTCACATTTTTTCAAATATCATAAGCACACAAAAGGATTATAGTAGTAGTGTTGAAATGCAAGAATTCCCCTCAACTTGGAAATTCCAAGTTAATAAGGAAGAAATTATAATTTTAATACTTTAAATAGTAAAATAATCTAGCTAGGTTTTGGTAAAATAATCTAGCTAGGTTTTGGTAAAATGAGCAGTGTAAATAATTCTTTCAAACATTTGGGAATGGTTATTTAAAATGATTTTAGAAGCACTGTAAATATCATACCTGGAAATTTCTTAGGAAACAATTCAAAGAAAAAATTATATATACAAATATACCCATTGCAATTACACGCAATAGGGTAATGGATCAATGTGGTCATTATTACACTACATAGTACTTGAGAGACATTTTACTCTTACATACACTTAAAAGTTGAAAATCCATTACACAGTCACTTTACATTCAATCTTCTTCATCCAAGTTTGTTTGAGATGAATGTGGGTTGTTTTTTTTGGGGGGATGGGGGGTGCAAGAGCAATTGTCACCCCTATAATTATCATGACAAAAATAGTGTGTAAAGCAAAGAGTAATGGCAGCCTGTAGGGAA